TGAAACTTTGATGATGGAGAGTTGATCCATGATATCACTATTTGTGAATCACACCAAAAGAACGTCTGGTAATTTCTTATTTGTAGGTCGTTCTTTATTCTTGTTGCTAGTTCTGCGCCAACCACAGCTGCACAAAGTTCGAGACGAGGTAATGTCAACCTTTTCAAAGGTGCAACCCGAGATTTGGCGCACAATAGTCGTACAATGATTTGACCATTCTGAAGTGTTGATCTCAAATACGCTGCAGCACCATATGCCTTTTCTGATGCATCTGTAAAGATGTGTAATTGAATGTTGGCAGGAACTTCGCCTTTGAAAATATGACGAGATATCTGGTTTTACTTTTGTCAAATTGTTCCGGAACTCTAACCACTGTTTCTGTAATTCAGTCGGCAGTTTTTCATCCCAATCCATCTTTAAATTCCATAATTCTTGAATAAAGATCTTTGCCATCACCACAACTGGTGACAAAAGTCCTAGTGGATCAAATAGCCTTGCTAAATCTGAGGTTGCACTGCGCTTCGTCGTGCTGCAAACAGGTTCCAATTTAACCTTGACGCATAAACTATCAGATTTTGGACACCAGGATAATCCCAGAGTTTTTGTTGTATCGTTATTATTTTCTAAATCTAAATTGACTTTTAGGTCATCGTGTGGAATTCCTTGTAGTAGACTTGGATGATTTGCGCACCATTTTCGCAATTTAAAACCGCTTGCTGTCAGTATTTTGTTTAATTGACTCTGAGTTTCCAACAATGTTCTCAGACTATCTGCCCCGTGTAAACAGTCATCTACATAGAAGTTTTGTTTGAGAGCAGATGCACCTAATGGATAATTTTGCATATTGTCATCAGCTAAAACTTGCAAACATTTGGTTGCTAGATACGGTGCTGATCTAGTACCATATGTTACTGTGTTGAGTTGAAAGTACTTTATCGGTTGACTTGGTTCATTTCTCCAAACGATAAGCTGACATTGTCTGTCTTCTGGATATACAAGTATTTGTCGGTACATCTTTTCAATGTCTGTTGTAAACACATAACGAGGAAGACGGAATCGTAATAAAATAGACAGTAATTCACTTTGAACAGTTGGTCCGATGTGTAGTAAATCATTGAGAGATTGTCCTGATGTTGTTTTGGATGATGCATCAAATACCACACGTAACTTAGTGGTGGTACTGTCGGGTTTAAGCACACAATGGTGTGGTATAAAGTAATGTGGTGACATAATCCTTTCAATATCTATTTCGGTCATATGTCCCAATTTTTCATATTCATCTAAAAACTCTACGTATTGTCGTCTGAGGTGACTATCCTTTGAAAGTCTACGCTCTAGTGCTAGAAATCTATTTGTAGCAATGTCTTTCGAATCTCCCAAAGCGAATCTGTCATTTATAAAAGGAAGACGCACGATGAATCGTCCCGTAACATTCTGATATGTAGTTTGAGTGAATTGAGCTTCACATTGTTGCTCTGCTATTGACAAGACCTTTGAGTGAGTATCAACTTCTTCAACCTTCCAGAGTTGTTCTATTGCATTTTCTAAACTATCTTCTTATGCTATTCCACATGTTGCAATCATTGTGTTAGCATTTTGGATTTTTCCAGATACGATCCATCCAAGCACAGTGTTCTGTAGAATTGGTAGTTCCCTTGAAAGTTGTATTTGACCAGAACTTAGGAGTTGATGATAAAATTCTGCTCCAAGCAACATATCCATTTTGTCAGACTTATAGAATGTAGGATCTGCTAATTGGATGTTATTGGGCAGATTCCAATTTGAAATTTGTAAGTGTTGCGATGGTTGATTGGATACAATTTTTGGCAACACAAATGCTTCAAGTATTGTTTTGTAATCGGTCACTTTTGATTGCACAGAAAGTGTTGTGCGACTTTTAGAACTCAATTTACCTATCCCTATGCCTTCGATGCAAATTGAACTGGAGCTTACTTGCAGCCCCAATCTGGATGCCAATCGTTCAGTCACAATATTTATTTGTGAATCCAGTACTGCTCTGCACTCGACTGTTCTTCCATTAGAGTTGGAGGCTAAAAGTTTTGCTGTTCCCAAAAGAACGCAACTGGTATGACCATGATTGATGGATGACATTAGAGTTGTTTGTGCAAGTGGCCTTGAAGTGTTTTCAACTAACTTATGATTTGATGATTGAACTGGGTGTCTATTTTGATGCAACAGTGTATTATGTCTTCTTTGGCATATAGTACAACCCCTGCTGGAGCATTGTAATGCCATATGACCAAGTTTCATGCAGTTTGTGCATAATTTATGACGTTTTAGTAAATCATACTTCTGTTGTATGGATTTACGTTTGAAAGTTTCACATGAAAATAATTGATGACTACTATTGCAAGTAATACATTTTGATCCTGAGTCTGTAGCTGCAAGTGCTACTGCTGGATGTCGTGGTTTATGACTTTGTTTGTGGTTTCCATTCGTCATTGATTCGAATGCCTGAAATCTTGCTTCTAGGAATCGCAATAATTCTTTTAATGAAATTATTCTTCGGCTGTCTTCTAACGATTGCTCGAATGCTGTATGTGAAGCTTTGTCTAGCTTTCTAATAATTACGTGAACCATTATGGCGTCCCAAGATTTAACATCAATACCTTGAGCTGCTAATCCATAATAACATTCTTTTGTAACATCATGTATGCCCTTAAGACTGCTTGCTGATTCAATTGTTATATTTGGTTGTGATAACAATTTATTTAGTAATGCTGTCACCAAGAGTCGTTTGTTGTCATACCGATTTGACAGAATATCCCAAGCTATATTGTAATTTTGCTCGGAAATTGGCAGATGCCGTATGAGGGCTTTTGGCTCACCCGCCAAATTTGTAGATAGATGGAACATTTTGTGGGCCGCGCTTATTGATTGATCATGGATCAATTGTTGAAACAAATCTCTAAACCCAATCCATTTCAAATAGTCTCCATCAAATGTTGGTAAAACTATTTTTGGAAGTCTGATTTGTTGAGTTGCTGCAGGCCCCTCTGACGTCAATCTTTCAGTTGGTTGACTGTGTTGTTTTAAATATATCAACGCGTTTTGGGCATCTTTATCCGTTGAATAGTATTGATCCCAAGTATATCCGACGATGTCTTTTGCGTCGGCTGATGACCATATTTCATCATTGTTATCCCTCAGATCCTTCTGATATTTTTCTATCAGAGAATATTTCAGATCATAATAACTAGCATGATGTTTTATGGTTATTTCTTCATATATTTCATCTATGCTCGTGCGTAATGCATGCATTAATGAGGATTGCTTTTTGATGTTTCGCATGAGCGATGTAGCTTTGTTTGACCCTCTTGGGCTTACTACTGGCTTCCCGTCCTGTGGTTTTGGGATTAGCCTTGATTTCTCCAACTTGAATCGTTCATCATATTTGACTACTAGATTGGAGATTTTTTCAAAGTAACCTGTACTGAAATACTCGTGTTCGAGTTCAGGTTGTGGCAATGCTTTGATTTCAGCATCATTTATTTCAAAATCATTCCATAGGGAATTTAGCTTCTTTAATCGGTCTTCATAGTAAATGGAATCCTGCTTCCGGATACTAGAATCCTTTTTGAAATTGGTTATGAGTCGCTCAATCTCTGTACCGAGCTCTGACTGCTTCTTTAATAACGCATCCATGGCGATGTTTGAATTTTCAGTCCGAAAATTCCGATGAATAAATACTTCAGCTGGTTAATGAGTAGACCTTTTGGTGTGTCCTTTTGTAAGTAATTGACTGCTTCGATATGTTTTTCGTCAGGATAATGAAATGAAAATTAATATTATATCAATAATCACGTCGGGGTCACCAAAAAATGTACGCTACTTGGTGCTAACCCAGATCCTTAATCTGTGTTAGCTTGGTAGCCAATTTTTATGTGTAAAGTAGTTTGAGCACTTGTAACCCAAACTACTTGTATTTTCTATATTGATTAGTTTGAGCACTTGAACCCCAAACTAATCGATGCGAGAAAGTAAGAAAGTTATAATTGATTTTTCTTTTCCTTCTGAGCTTTATTAAAATTATTTCTTATATTTATACAAAAATTATTTTATAAAAAAGCTATTAAGTTATGCATTAATTAACAATAAATATTAATGCATAATTCACAAATAAATAAATTTGCCTACGCTGTGCTGACATAATTATAGGCCAACATATTACACACTTTCTTCAGTGCATTGGCCAATAAGAAAAGCTGATAATGCAAAATTGCACTTTTCGTTGGTCAATGACTGGTCGCAGTGTTGGCCCAACTAATATGTAAACACATGTAAACAAATAATAAAAAAAAAATAAAAATATAAAATAATATTAATTAAATGCAAACATAAACAGTAACAAATGTTGAAGATATCTGCAATAAAGTTTATTTAACAAATATTTACCATATTTATTATAAACTATTTACCAAAATCCACCCCGCATGAAACTAATTGCAGCATGCACCCACAACATAACCAAGTGAACTACAATTACGTTGGAATAAGAATATAATTAATTAAATGAATCATACACTTACCTGATTTATTTATGAATTATATTTCTATTTTTTTGAATTAACTTTTATATTTATTAAATTAATATTTATTAAACTAAATTAAAAAAAATCACAAAAGAAGCACCGAATGCATTTTTAATCACATTTTGCAATAATCAAAACAAAACAGCAAAATAGAAAACATGAACTGTCAAAAATATTCGCCATAAGAGAAGCTCAAAGAGATGTAACATAAAGTGCACAAGCAGAACGGCAAAGTAAACAAGACTTGCGTGAGATCAGCTGTAAATAAAATAATATGCTACGAAAAAGCTCTGTTGGTTGAGTATTTAAGACGAGTATTTTTGTTTAGACGGCAACTTGTAAAATATTTACTAAGGCACATCAGCGTAGGCACAACACCTTCTGTGCACCGGTATTATATCACACTTCGCTATCATATAGAAGAATTGCGTTTACTGTTGTCATTAACAATTTCCGTTTTTCCGCGACGGGTCCTCTCGTGTTAGCCATTAGTTTGCTTAAGGCAGCAGTGACCTTCACTGCTTTCTCTACTGCATACTTTATTTGCGCCCAAAACGTAAGTTTCCCATCTAATCTTATTCCAAGGTAATTAATCGTTTTTTGGGTTCTCAGCCCTTCATTCTTTACTCACATTTCTATTTCTGTATTTATATGCTTTTGACTTAATAGTAATATCTCCGTTTTATGAGTAGCCAGCTGAGTGGCCAGAGTGGCCGAGATAACCTCAGTGATGGCTCCTATTGTGGATCTTTTAGCTTTGAAGCCATATTGTCTAGAGCTGAGTCCACCAGATGCTTCTACTGCGAATTTTAGTTTTATTACCTTTTTATTGAGATTTCCTGCGGTATCCAGCGAACACCGTGGTCTAAATGCTGCCGGAGTATCTCTGTTTCCCTTGCCTTTGTCGATAAGTAATAATCGCTGCCTTTTCCATATATCTGGAAAAATTCCCTCTCTAAGACATGTATTGTACATTATTGTACATCAGTAATAATTGAAGTTTATTTTTCGCAATTACTTTTAAAACTTCGTTTGGCACTCCATCCGGTCCAGGTGCTTTATTATTTTGTAGTTCTTTAGCGACGATTGTTAGTTCTCTCTCCGTGAAGTTGTCAATATTTTCCGATTGAACTTGTGTGGCATTTTCGTCACTCCTTATATCGTGGTTTGGGAACAGGGTATTAACAATTTCGTTCATTTTCTTTCTTCTAAATCATTTACTGCCGATTTTAATCCTTGTTTCTTCATGACTATTTTGTATCCAAGGCCCCATGGAGCATGAATTATGTCTTTCGAAGTTTCTCCCATTTTCTTCGTTTACTTGTGTTAATCGCTTTTTTTAAGTTCTTTTTGGCTTCGGTATATTCTCGACCTTCTGCCTCACTAGTTCCATTTCGTCTAGCTCTCGTGTAGCGCCTTCGTGTGCGTAGACATACTCTTCGCAGTTGATTTACAATTGATGCGTCATCAATTATATATTGTTTTTCCCCACCAGCGGTAAAGACCATTATATATACTATATCACTCAATAAGATGGCGCTGTCACAGTTAAATTCATATGACGTTTCTGAAACACCAACCTTCAAAAGACTATGTGTAAAATTTCATGATATTTCGATTAGTCAGAAAAAAAGTGACAGCCATTTAAGTGTAGCCACTTTTGTTATTTTCAAAACAATAGATTTAGAACAATTTCGTGTGTTAATTTATCATTGCTTCTTGATGAAAAAAATACTTTACAAGCTCAGCAAAGGCTTCAAAAGTGTTATCCAGACTCTGCTCCATCGAAAAGAACCATTTGTTATTAATTTGCTAAATTTAAATGTGGTCGTACAGACACCTATGATGATGAACTTTCTGGTCGTCCAATTGAGATGGTTACTTCAGAAAACATCAAAAAAGTCCAGAAATTGGTTATATCAGATTTCTTGCATTATTGTGTGACAATGGATGAAACATGGATCCATTACTTCACTCATCATCTGAGTGGACTGCAGCCAGAGAACCACGTCCGAAGCGTCCAAAAGCACAAAAGTCAGCTGGGAAGGTTATAACTTCAGTATTTTGGGATGCACATGGTATAATCTTCATTGATTATCTCGAAGAGGAAATAACCATCAATAGTAACTACTACACGGCATTTCTGGATCGTTTGAAAGCAGTAATTGTGTAAAAACGATCGCATATGGCGAAGAAAAAAATTTGTTTCACCAAGACAATGCACCATGTCACAAGTCAACAAAAATGATAGCTAAATTGCACGAAATACACTTCGAATTGCTTCCTAGTCCACCGTATAGTCCAGATGTTATCCCAAGCGACTACTCATCTCTTAGTCGCCGTTAAAAACTTCATCTTAAATGAAGAAGTAATTGCTGAAACTGAAGCGTATTTATGGTAAAAGACAAATCCTTCTACAAGCGCGGCATCGCGAAGTTAGAGAAGCGTTGGAATGATTGTATTGCCCTTGAAGCAGATTACATTGATGAGTAAAATCGATAAAATCGATTTACCAAATTAATATTTTAAGATACGTTTGAAAAATTTGACTCAGAAATTGGAAGTGTTTAAATACAGTAATGGTAATAATAAGACAATAATCTGATAAAATATTGGAAGCCTGATTATGAATATATCATAAAAAATTACTTCGGCCAATCACAACAAAGATGGAATGAAGTCAAAAAGCGATTTAGTAATTTTTTTTTTTAAGTTTTTTTTTTATTAACGAATCTTAAAAAGTTGTACAGAAGCGTAGCGTTATGATATTGCCACTGGTATAATATTAAGATGATACTAACAAGCAATTTAGTTGGAGTTACATAACTTACATAATTAAGAGAAAAAAGCATTAATTTTTTAAGATGCAGGCTCAAAGAAGAATACATGAAAAATAAAGTATGTGCTAATTTATTTTCATAAGTTCGGCTACAGTTTTCCGCTTTAACCGTCTTCGAAGAGGATTCGCCTGGAGAAGACTAGATGCTGCTACGTTAACGTGACATTACAGGCGCTGTTTGTGTGCTATTGCACATTTCTTCGACTCTTCAGATATTGTTGGCATACGAAAATCACAATGTAAATCGCTATTTCTTACGTAAAATGGCGTATCCACAATGTTTTGGAGTACCATGTTTTACAGGCGTTAAATAGTAGCAATATGCTTTTTACTGGCGCACCCTCAGAACTGTCCAGATTGGCTTTAAGGTATGTTTGTATAACAGGAGCTTGTAGTGCAAAGATAGTTTTGAACGTCTGCCAATGAGGTTGTATAATTTGGTTAGTTTCAAATCAAGTTCATGGCTTTTTTTCTTGACATGAGCCTTCCAACGCAATTTGGCGTCGAGTGTAATACCAAGGTATTTGGCTTCATTAGCGTATGGGATTACATCTGTGTCAATGTATATTGGTTTATAGGAAGTCTTTTTTAAACAAAATATTACGTGCACTGATTTGTTTTTATTTAACTTAAATCTCCATTTCTTGGCCTATGAATCAATGTGGTTGACGGCTACCTGTAGTTTGGCCGTTGCGGTTTCAATAGTGTCTATTGCCAATATTGCAGTATCAGCGGTAAAAGTAGCGGTTACGTGCTGATCTCCTGATGGAAGATCGTGTGTGTACAGGAGATATAATAGTGGCCCAGAATACTTTCTTGTGGTACTCCAGCGGTTATCTTTTTTAAAGGCGAAATAAAGGTCAAATACGAAAAGAGTTTTCGTAAATACGAAAAGAGTTTTCGTAAATACGAAAAGAGTTTTCGTATTTGACGTTAAAATATCGGTCATAAATATATAATAAAAGCACTGCATAGTATTTTGTAGATAGCATGAATTAAAAATAATACTGCAAATGGAATAAAAGGAAGCTCAATTGTCAAGGCATCAAATTATAAGAGAGCAAGGGAAAGCTTGGCCATAAAGGCATCAAGATATAAGTAGCAATGACTAAGTCACCATCACCGAACCATACAAAATTACGAGCAAACGTTCGGCAATTTTAAGCATAAGTTGCATATCAAAAAGAACATAGACAACGAAAAGTATTGAAACGTTGCAGTTTAAATTGGAAAAATTGAAGAATTATTGGACAAACATTTCACAATTAAACAATGAATGCCTTCTTAGCAGTGATAAAATATACTAGGGAGATTTCATTCAATTAAATCGAAACATGAAGAAGTATATATTCCATGACATGAAAAACTGCACGTTCGCAGTGAAACCGTTTCAAAAACAAGAACACCCGTACCTACCACCGCTGAACGGACCAACATTCAACAGCAGATATGAAGAATGGTATCCATTTTGGGAATTGTTCCACCGGTTAGTTCAACAAAAACATAATTTAGTGAAAGTTGAAAGAATGCAGTATTTAAAAGGAAGTCTGCGGGAAAAATCCGACAGACTTATCAATCATTTATCAATAACAGCAAATAATTGTACAGCGGCAGTTGAACTACTAAGACAAAGATACAACAATAGAGCAATACTTGTGGACAATCTTATTAATAAGTTATTGTCGCTCAGAGCTGTAAGAGAGGAGAATGCACAAGATTCAAAAACATTAATGGATGCTTCTGGAGAGGTGTTATATGGTATACGTACTTTGAAGGTAAACACGTCCAGTTGGAATCCACTAATAATACAAATACTGCTTTCAAAAGTAGATGGTAAAACCAGAAAATTGTATCAACACTAAAGAAAAATATCAACACAAATAACAAAATTAAGCAACTTGTACGAGTTTATTGAGAGCAGAGTTAGAGGATTGGAGGCAACTCGAGGCACAAATCGTGAAAATAAGAATAATATTCGACCAACGGTTGTGAATACAAAACCGCATGTAACTGCAATACATGCGCTATTATTGGTATGTAATAGGAGCCATTAATTAACTCTATGTTTAAAGTTACTAAATATGAAGGTGCTGGAACGTCGTTAAAAGATTACGAGCGCCAAATTATGTTTCAATTGCCCTTAAAGTAAGTACTTTAGTAAGTTATGTTTAAGTAAAAAAATGTGCAATTTGCGACAAAAAACACCATCAACTAAGTCATGAGCGAGTTAAGGGTAAATCAACATTGACAAACAACGTTAATAAACAGAACATGTAAACATTCAAAAACACTAAGGAGACTGAAGTAACAGCGTCGTATAACTGATGTTTTACTAGCAACAGCAATGGGAATCATAAGGACTAAAGAACAACTCAATTCGATAAGAGCGCTTCTTGATCAAGTATGACAATCTTGTATAATAACAGAACAATTAGCAAGATCAACCATTGATCAGTTATCAAACTCATGTAAAAGGTATCCATGAGTAAACAACAGGAGTTAGAGCCAAATTCTCATTAGAAATTCAATCTTTACATGATGAGAAAAAAAACTGTTATATCAAAGTCATCAAGAATACCGAATGCGTAATTCATGCCAGGAAAATAGTCACATATTGATGGATTGCAGTTAGCAGACCCTTTATATGCTGAACCAAAGGAAATATAACTGTTAATCGGGTCGGACATGTTAACAGATGTGTGTAAAGAAGGTTTGATTAATCGGTCATACAACTCATCAATGGCTCAAAATACACTATTTGGATGTATATTATGAGAAGCTTTAGACGTAGAGTGTACAACCACAAAAATAATAACGTTACTCATCATGGCTTGCCGTAGCAGCGACGAGTATTTAAAACGGTTAAGAACAGTAGAAGAAAGTTGTTGAGAGCGATATTATAATTGAACTTGCATCCGCCATATAACAAAACGATACATCGTCAGGTTACCGCGCTAATGATCGAGAAACGTTAGGTGACTCCAGAAAGATGTCATAGAAGATGGCAAGAGTATATGAACTTTATGCAAGAGTACATCAAGGTTTGGCGCATGGAAGAAGTTAATGAGAAACCAAAGACAAAGGTATACCACTTGCCGCATCTTGTAGTGATTAAAGAATGCAGCACGACAACAAAACTTCGAGTGGGGTTTAGTATGTCCGCAAAAACGACCTTAGGACAAATCCTGAACAATATTATTATGACAGGCCTTATGCTAGAAAAAGGATTTATTCGTTCTATTATTGCAGTGGAGAATACATAAAATGGTTTTTACGGCTGACGTTTAAAAATGTATGGGCAAATATTGATTCATCATTATGATGAAGATCTTTAAATAAAGCGCCATATCTTGCCATCAAAACATTGTTTAAACTTGCAGAAGACGAGAGACCTAATTATCCAATGGCAAGTGAAATCTTAAATGAAAAATTGTATGTACACGATTGTTTGGAAGGCGCTAATATTTTTAGGAATTGTAAACAAGTACAACAAGAATAAATCCAACTACTTTAGATGGCTGTCGTCTATAACCATTAAAACAAAACGTGGGATTAGATTAATGTGCAGCTCTGCTATTGACAAAGTTCATCAATTATATACAGAAGAATAACAAAGTAATAGTAAAATTATTCCATGGAAAGATTCAAAAATTATATCAAATTGGCTAAAGCAATACCCAAATAGATGGACTACGTTTGTAACAAACAGAGTATCGTACATTCAGTACATGTTTAACCAATTTCGTACCTCCGTGTGATACACCACACGGCTTACTTTGAAAATTATTTAAAAATATGTATAAGTAATTAATTCAATGTTTTTTATTTTTGTTACTTAGTTTGATATCTTAATAATATAAAAATACATATTTCGAACAGTTTTCATTTGTTTATGAGTTTACCTAGTGCGAAATAAAAAGTGTCCAAAAAAAATGCACTTTTTTAACCAAATGAATATTAAAATAAACAGAAATAAAAACTAATATATTTGTTATAGGATGTGTTCACAAAAGTCCAAATATAATTTTCGTAATTTTCGCCGGCGCCTTAGTAACAGTTACTTGCCACCAGACGTCGGCAAAAATATGCGTGTAGTGAACCACACGCTGGGTCCCATAAAACTATAATAATGAAACAATGCAATATAAATGTTTGTCGTTATAATAAATATCATACTCTTCTAACCAACCTAAACTTGTGTTTTTTACTATTTATAATAGTAATAAGTCTTTTTTGATTGTTTTATATAGGGCTTACATTTGTCCATGCTATAAGTTCTGTCGTCAATTTTTTACTGTAAATAAAATTACAAGGTGAGATGAAAAAACTGCAACAAAGTAAAACGCCATAATTTTTTCATTTTTTTTAAATTTTATTGAATGAAAGCAAAAAATGTCGGAAATAACATCCAATTTGAGAATCGGTTTAGATTTGTTCGAATTGGCCACCTTTGGCACGAACTATGGCCTTCAAACGGCCAATGAAACCATCACACGCTGCCCGAAAGTGGCTCTGCGGTATTTTGTCCCATTCTCGGCGAAGCGCTTGCTTGAGATGATCGACACTTTGGTATTTTTTAGTTCCAACCTTGCTTTCCAAAATACCCCAGGCACAATAGTCCAACGGATTGGCATCCGGAGATTTTGGTGGCCATTGTGCGGTGGAAATGAAGCGAGGAACCTCATTTCTTAACCATTCTTGGATGGCGCGTGCTGAGTGCGATGGTGCTGAGTCCTGTTGGAATGTCCAAGGTCTGCGGCCGAAATGTTTGCGTGCCCAGGGCTTCAGAACTCCCTCCAAAATATTTTCGCGATAGATTTGCGCATTTAATTTGACACCACGGTCGATGAATACGAGCGGCGAGCGACCATCGGCTGTTATGGCGGCCCACACCATCACCATGGCCGGCTTTTGAGTTGTGATGGCCAACCGAAGTTGCAAATTTTCAGCTGACCTCTCTGGCAAGTAAACACGATCATTTTGTTTGTTTACAAACTGCTGGATAACGAATGGTTTCTCATCGGAGAAAACCAAATTCGGCAGTTCACCACTTTCGGCCAAGCGAAACAACTCTTTAGCTTTTTCGAGTCTAACTTTTTTTTGCGCATCAGTAAGATCTTGCACTTTTTGGAACTTGAATGGCTTTAGTCCAAGCTCATTTTTCAATATTTGCCGAATGGCATATTGCGATATGTTCAGCTCACGAGCCATTTTTCGTCCACTGCGACGCGGATTTCGTTCAATTCGCTTTTTCACTTTTCGAACCATTTCTGCCGATGTTGCTGTTTTTTTTCGTCCACTTCCTTGACGTCGGGCTACGCTACCAGTATCATGGTAACGAGCGATGGTACGAGACACAAAACATTTATTCACTTCTAAATGCTGGAGGGCTCTAACGATAGCCACTTGTGGTTTTCCAGCCAAATGCAAAGCAATCACACTATCACGCTTGAATTCCATCACAAATAACTTTTTTTTTGAAAAATTCCCACCAAAATGCTTTTGTGCGCTTGTAAACAATATAATGAGCTGTCACTAGAATAAATCTGACAGCTGTGGGACGAGCGGTTTAGAAATGACAGCAGTCTGAAGTTGGTTGCAGTTTTTTCATCTCACCTTGTATAATGTCGTGCTTAAGATATCTAAGAAATCAGTAACTATTACATGTTATTGACAATTGGAGCGAAGATGACTCATTAGTGCCAAGTAACGCCACCTATTGAATAATAATGTGTGCCACCTGATAATGTTGCTGGTGAATCGGAGAATGAAATGATTAACGATGATAAAATATCAACAAACATTACATGCGACTTTTGAATTTTGTTCTCCTTTTTTGAATTCCGTTTGCCTAATTGTGAGAGAGTATTTTGGTACTACTGAAGTTGTATACGAATCAAATGCACACGATTATGGTACTATTCACATTGGAACTTGTAAAACTAATACTTTCCGGTTATAAGCGATGAACCCCTTCTTTGGGTAGTTGTATATCTTCCAGTTTCTGCCATTCTCCAGTGCAAGTGGCAAATACAACAAACAATTGAGAATCGGTGCATTTGTTGTAGAGGAATTATTGTGTTTAAATAGCGCTGTAGTAAAAGCTTGGAAACTAAATTGCTTTGTCGCTGCTTCTACCAACACAAAACTGATGCCTCAGTTAGGCTTCAAGAACTTCATTGTCAGAAACCTTCTTCTTGCATCAGAGAACTCAGTGTTCATTACAGAAGCTACCGCATACGATGATTTGCAAAAGAAAAGTCACAGTGCAGTAGAAGATGTTTATCTTCCGGGAAATTTACTACGTGTAACCTGTATGCACGCTCCATGAAAATAGACAATATTACATTGATCGTAGGCACCGACGCAAGTAAGCTTATTTCTTTTTACATAATACAATACATATGTAATACTTCAAATATATTTTTTGATTAATAAATATTTGAAAAGCATGACACATTGAATTGTACACTTGTATGTACTTTATACAACTTACAATAATACTTACTTCACCATAACAGTAACTAAGTACTATATTTACGAACAAAACACATATAAAAATGTTTGTACTGTCGAGGAAAGAAAAATGTGCTATGAGTCCAAGCGTGTGGTCGACCACACGGCACTTTTCTGGAAAACTAAATTTCAAAAAAAAAATTTATTTATGCAGGGAATATTTTTAACTTAAAAAATAAGACTTTTCAGAAAATTTCACCATAAAATTTAAAGTTTGAACTTGCCTGGTACTTAATGGGTTAGGGTGTAATTTAGATTTGTTCCAGGAAAGGATAATCCAGCAGATATTTCATCTAGTGAAGTATATGGTGACAACCTTATTTCAAACACATTACGGTGGCATGGT